TTTCCCGACTGTATATTTATTCGTTGGTTGTCTTTTGATAAAGTTATCGGGGTTGACATTCTTGTGGAAAACGGACCAAAAATGAGTTTCGTGAATCGTTTGTGTTGTGAGTCCTGTTGTTGGATTCAGCTCTCCTAACTGGTGTCTTGACGTGACTCTTTTAGTACATGATTGCATTGTTGCTGTTATTTAATGGTTAATTCGTGTGACTTTGTTTCTTGTATAATTGTATTTCCACACTTTCTGTGTTTGTTCTGGTGACTGAAACGTTTAGGAAGGAAACTCTGTCTTCCGTTTCTTCCACTTTTGTAAATTTAGTGTCATCAAGAATGTCGCTGATCAACTTGTGGGAGTTGAAAGTTCTCTTCTCTTTAAAATAAGGCATATGTTATCTGTATGATGTATTTAAATATTTGACTTTACTCAAAGGCAAACAAACTGAAATAACTAAATTCTTAGTAATCTTAACTTGATTGCTGTAGAAAGGGAGAGTCATTTGTGAAACATGAGATATATTACGTTTCCTTCTACTGAAAATCCATCCGCTTATATACCGAAAAAAATTTTAATGTCCTAACTCAGTAGTTATAATATTAACACTCTAATTCTTGGCAAACACATTCCACAATGAAATAATATTGCTGTGAATTTCTCTAATTGTTAAGTGTTTATTTGGCCAGTGATGAAGAATTGAAAAGCTAATTGTTCCATATTCACGAATTATGAATACCACACGTAATGCAACAGAACACAATACATATTGCTTGTCATGTTCAGGTCAGATTGAGGATACACAGACAATTGTTCCATTGCTTGTTTCTGTATGCTTATATTGTGTCGGAATGAATATGATGGTGTTAAGGAAACACTACATTGTTCGAATCAGTTCTGATTCAGGTCACTGATAATGTATGCATAAATGATAATATGGTTTGAAATTCCCTTATGAGAAATTACCATATGAAATGAAAATAACTGATATTATCTTGCTATAACTTACATATGCGTGTAAATTATTTGAGCATTATAAATTCTATTATTTGAAGATTAAATTGAGAACATTGGTTCACTTATGAATGAGATATACCTAGTTGTCACACACTGTATAATAATTCTGACTTACATAATAGCAGTCATATATTTATTGTTGAATTGTATTAATATTTAAAACAAAATGTATATAGAGTAGTCAGATCTCTTAACTTATAATCCAGTTGTTAAGTAGTTACTCTTAAATGTAAGCTTAGATATCCTGTGATATGATAGAACAAAAAGGATGACACGATTTACGTCAATATTTTTTGTATCGATTCACTATGAACTTCCGTCAGGGCGATTGGTGTGAACTTCGTTCAGTGTGAATTATATTTCCTGTATCAATTCAGATAAGCTGTATTCAGTGTGCTGTTACTGTATCTCCTTGATTTTTCTCCTATTATTACTACGTATAGAAATTAGTATACAAAGGATTGTATGTTAATCTAATGATTACATTTATTGTTAAGACGTGCTTTTCAAAAGCCAGTTAATCTTCATTGAACCAGTCTTTAGTGTTTTTCCTTTTGGTCCATAGAATTTGCAAAGGCTTATATACCCAAGTGTATGCAGTAGCATCGTGGAATTGTAGTGGTTCTCAATTGTTAAGCCAACAGAATATATGAATACATAGCAGCGAAGACACCCCAGTGGTGATTCTGATTTTAGCAACAGATAGAGAAATAGTGTCCTAGTAATCTTTCATGTCGGATGTTTATGATACTTCCGGTGTGGAATGATGTCAGCTACATGCCCTGTGTAAATACTTTCATGGGAAATTATCAGTTGTCGATACTTTTGTTTATAATAAACAAATTACTTCTACATCTGGTTCCCCTGGGGAACAATATCATTCTGAAAAATATTTTATTCAATTAGAATGTTGTAATAAGATTTTTGTTCAATTTTTTATCGCGTTACTTGTTTTGGGAACGATCTAATATAAATAAGTTGTGTTTGTTATGAAAATTATATTTACACGAAAAAATAAGTGGTTCTATCCATGAGTTTCACTAGTTACATATCCATTGATAAACCTTGCAAATTAATTTTAACTTCCACTTGTCTTACACCTTTGTTTCTCATCCATAGACTTTAATTTTACAGAAAGGCGAGGCATGTTGGGGACGTTAGATCCTCAGAACTCACTTGGGAATGGACCTAATTTTGTAATTTTATTCAGAAAATTTGAATTTTTTTGTTTTCGCGCCAAAGGCGCTCTTGTCACCTTCATGTCGTATTTCCCACTGGGAAATATCTTAAATGCTTCTGGTCCGTTGCGTCTTTTAGTATCCTATTTGGTAACTCTCCCTAAGGACGGTTTTGTACTGTACACATACGTTTTGAATCGTGTTTGTTGTTATCGCTCGTTTCTGGCTGTTTGCAGAATATACTTTACCATTCCAAGCTTCGACTTCTCCCTCTAGTTACCGGGGCTGGGACGCTCACCGAGTCTTGTTTCTCGTTCGCAGATTAAGTGAACTCGTGATAGCTTCAACCCTAGCAAGGCTAAATAAAATTACTAAACTACACATTATGATTATTATTACACTTAATTATTATTCTTTCGTTTGGCCGTGCATCAAGATTTTCAATATGATTCAAGTAAATTCCTCATCGGAAGGATCTTCACATTCGTGACTATTTTCTTTAAATCATTATTGAGTACTAAAAACTCTACTTGACACTACGCCACAGCTACAGTATTATACAAAAAAGCAAAAATCAATGTACATAATTCGCTATATACACTTTGTTGAACAGAGAGTAAGAAAAATCAGTAGTTTAGTATATACAACTGCGAAATATGGATCAATAGGCATGATGTTTGAGAATTGTTAATAACACCAACATGGTTCCAGGTACATCTAACTGGTAATTTATAAATCCAATGACAATTATATTCTATTATTTAACCTTTCTCCTAAGCTTTCGATTAACTGCTTCGAAATAACATGTACTAAAAGTAGTTCATGATGTTGAATTGCCCGTGTTGAGATTAGTAGAATCGAATAGAAAAGTCATTTCAGAAGCTGGTTCGTCAAGATGATCTCTCAGTATGGGTTGTGGAGACTACTGAACTTCACTGCAATCACGAACCGGTCAAAGTTAGACAGCCGTTGAAAACCTGGAAGCACCGGAAAGCCACTTCGTCTCAGTACGGGACAACTCACCAGTGAGAATCCACGACCCTGAAAGCAAGAATCGAACACAAGACCTTGGACCTCGCACACAAACACTACCTCTAGACCATTTAGCCGGACTTCAATACATTTTTTCCTCGGAAATTATTCTCAGAAGGTTCATCAACAATAATTTATAATCTACAATTTAGACTACATAGACTTGCTTTACACAACCATTCCTCTTTCATTTGCCTGTGATCACACTCGTCAAACCGCCTTAACGAAAGTGATTGGCGTTCGCAAAAATCGATTACTAAAACGATAATGAACAGTATATGTGTTTTAGACCATGGTTTTTAAAGGATAATATAAGATATATATGATAAAAGATTATATTTTATGATGATCCGTTGGGAATAGTTGAGAAAAATATTGATTGTATTAGTCAGTGGTAGTTTGGTTGATGACAATGATCTTCGTCTAAAGAAAGCCAGGGTAGTTATTTGTTTGATGTTCAGAATAATTTAAGTATCAGAAACAGTAAAGCCATTCGAAACATGATTAATAAATTTGAGTAATCAACAATAAATACAAAAAACATTTTGAAGAACCATCATTCTAAGAAGAAATCAAGTCGGAAACTACAAATCACTCAAAAATCTAATTGTAACGTTTGGAGTCTATTCAGGGTCATAGGCAGTTTCTTTCCAACTTTTAGTATCATAAAAATGAAAACAAACTAGTGGACAATATTATTAGCGTTTTCTGCTTTGTAACAATGTGATATAATATTTTTAGGGAACAACACTACTTAGTATTAATGTAACTCATTTACCTAATACATATTTATCGACTTAGCTTTAAATCAAACTGTTTAAGTAAAGCCAATTAGTACTATCCAAAGATGGACAAGTCACGTTCAATGCTGTTACTTACACTAGTTAAATGTGTTTAATAACAACTGCACTCAATTGTTTATATATCAAACTGTTTCAACTACCCTGTTACATAGAAATACACAATTAAGAACTAAATATAATGCAAGACATGAGTTAATATCTTAGAATAAGAGAGGATATAGAGCTTTAACTTAACAATAAAAACAATGCAATATTTTGTTTAATAAATCCATTAATAATTTAAACAAATTCTTATCCATAAATAATTAATAAAATGGTTTAAACTTTCTAAAAAATATATGAATAAAACAAAATTCTAATAAACCGCTTTGATTTTACTAGAATTGAGCTGTTAAATTTGAACTCGGAAAATTTAAAATTCAGATATCAACTCTGGATCTTCAAAAAAAGAGGGGAAGTGTTATATCCCGATGAGAACGATGAATGATAACTTTTGGGATCCATTTATGGACCAATATTATACGTATATTTTTGTCGTGTAATTGTTAAGTGACTAAACTACACATATTCGTGTTCCTCTTATTATAAGCTTTATTTTGACCTATGAACTGTTATTATACGATTTACCATTCTTGAGTTATACCCAGTCTATCAATTACTACCTCCCACATTCACAGCCACATTTGGCTAAATCTTGTACAAATGTTGTTTCATATTTTATGGTACGATGTGGTCTGTTTAGTTGGCACGTAAATCCAATATGTTTGAAATAAATGATCAATATCGCAGAGGCTGAGATTGGTGCTCTGAACTTAACAGGCTGGGCAGATAAGGACTCTAGACTGCTCGTACGGGTTTTATGCGTCATTGGTCCGATCGGTAATTCACTGTTCTCTAATTGGCTGTATCATCACGTGATACATTAATAGGAAACAGGGCACAAGTTATAATAAAACTGTTCTTTCATGTTTGTTTGTTTTTATTTATCTTTAACACAATGTTCATTATCTTGATATGCTAAATCTTCACGTAGATTCATTCCTGTAGAAAAGAAGAAAAAAAATTCATTTATAAAGAAAAATAAAAAGTTCATTCAAAAACAAATTAGTTGTTGTATCAAAATTTTAGTTTTACATTAAGATTATTATATTTCATTTTATGAAGGTCAGGAAGTAAACTATAACTGAAAACAACATAAATGTTAAATAGTCTCACTGAAATGATTCATATAAACAAATATACTTCTAAGATCTATTTCATGAAAGACTGATTTCAACTAGAAAAACATTCAGGAACAGGGAATAAATGGATAGATATTCTTTCTTCTTGACTAGAACTATTCAGTCGCGATTCAATATCATATCATCAAGGATTATTGTTTTATTCTAAGAATTAATAGAAGTTGGAAATATGGACGAGTGACCATGAGATTTGGGAAATTTCGGATTCAATACCTGATAGTATCATAAATGTCTACTACTAAATAGAATGAAACAGCTTTCTAATGCACCATAGTTGTCAAACAGTAACAATAAATACATTTAAATTGAACTAATCTCCACAATCGACTAACAGAATGTAATTCTACTGCCCGGGTGTTTATATAGATATTTTTTAATCCCAATATAAAAAACGACTCAATAGTTAACATGATGAAAAAAAAAGCTAAATATTGGAATCCTTAACTGCAATTATATATTTTGTCTGTAATAATTCATTTCACAACTTGTTTAAGCCGCTGCGCTGATTTGAAACTATGACAACTAAAACCAATCCATATTTTTTCAGATCACGTGTTTTTTATGATTGACTAAATGTTAGTGGAATAGTAAATAGTGTGAATGAAAACAGTGATTAGAATATACATCCATATATCTCAGTTAGCTAATTACTAGACAATTTTTTAAAATGAATTAAGCAATACAAGACAGATCACTTTATTCATTTATTATTTTATTTATTTGAACACATAAATATTGGTACAAAGGAGCATCGAATACATATGCGCTACACAAATCATTTGATTTGTGAGTTGGATGTGATACTGTCCGGGTGCCCAGACTGAGGCAGATGGTTTTTTTAGGGAATCACACCCAGAGCTTTTCACCTAAGGATCTGATCTACACGGCAGTGGAGCAACGTAAGAAAATGCAGTCCCATGGCAGCCGGTGACCAACAATTGGTTCATACGCCGTTTGTTCCCTCAAGATCCTAGAGCTCATATGTAATATTAGTTTGGAATCCATATCCACCAACCCTGTTAAAGCGCTGGACATTCGCTTTTCGTCCTCTCGATTTCGTAAACAACACCCCCGCCACGAGGAGGCAGTGAGCAGGACTTCCCTGGCAGTAGCTGTATGCGCGTGGCCATGTGAGAGCATTTCGAGAGGGAAAGCGAACTCTTCCCACGCTCGACCGTACCAAGGATTTTGGGGGCACAGAACACTTTTGACTATCTGAATGATACGAACATATGAAGATATTATTATGACTCCACCTACTATAAACATTTTTCTCAGCATCGACGAGTTCCATTTGAATAACTGTTGTTCGTATTAACGTTTCGCAATCTTCTGCATTTTTCAATAACTATACAAAATGTAAGATAAAACAATAACAATGTATATATGTACAGTGTAAAAATATTAGTCTAATAAACAAATTATAGACTGAACAGCCAAGGCAAAAATATCTCTAAATTTGTTATTGAATTATGGCGGTTCAGATACAACGATAAAATATCAATTCCTTTGTAAATACTGACGGGTGACAACTGGTACGAAACTTCCTGTCCGTCATCTTCAAATAAATAATACGAAAACTGTTAATTATAACGAAATAAATGTGAAAATAGTCAATTACATTAGGCAGTAAGAAATAATGAATTGAAGTTTGATCAAAGGATTTATATTTATTTATGTATTTGAGCACATAAATATTGGTACAAGAAGGCACCAAATATATATGAGCCACACAAATCATTAGATTATTGTGAGGGTTAGAATACTACTCGGGCACTCAAGCCAAAGACGGCGTTTTTCTTAGAGGGCTACTCCACCAAGCCTTTGACCTAAAGGTCTAATTCACAAGGCAGTGAAGCAACATTAGGAGATACAATCCCATGGCAGCCGGTGACCAGCAATTCGTACATACGCTATTTGTCCCCTTAGGATCCTGGAGCCCACGTGTACCACTGGATTGTAATCAGGGTATCTCAATCCTCTAGGTGAGTCCTCCATATCCACCAACCCGGTTAAAGAGCCACACATTCGCTTTTCTCCCTCTCAATTTCGTAGACAACAACACCGCCGGGAAAAAGCAGTCAGTAGGACTTCCTTGGCAGTAGCTGTATACTGCAAAGAGTGAAATGTTACAGTTTAATAATGTTTAATATAACAAATAAAACTGAGCAATCAACTTCAAGTTTTTTTACTCAGTTTTGGGATGAATGTTTCGTGTATAACAGTTATTTATACTACCTAGTTGCATTAAAGTAAGTTTTGACCCTTTAACTTAATGGTGCAGATTTAAGTATCTTGATAAACAAATTACGGCTCAACATAGTTAGCATTAGAAGTCATACATGTGTTTTCATGTACGCGGGTTGAAAGCAGTTAATAAGATGCCCTGAATATACGTCTCTCTATAGCTGGCAGTCGTTAGCACACTGTACTTGCAATCTTGAGAGAATTGATGCTCCCTGGTGGACTCGAACCCTTATCATCCAATCCCACAGTCATCTCTTGTAGGACTGAGATATTTACAACGACTAATCATTGAGTAGTGGTCAATGTCATTTTTTTCTAAACCTTAGTGTTAGTCGAATACTAAAGATCAAGTTGCAGGGTTTCCCGTCGATTACCTCCAATTAATTATTATCAAAACATAGTACTGGCGATTTCATATCACTTAGACTAGTGACCACATTGCACCTTGAAAACCAGGCAACTGTGACATTGGTCACTGTTCATTGATTAAACAACATAAATAAATATTTTCAGTTATGTTAGTGATGAAAAGCAAGTGTTCAGTGATTACAATACATATTTTTTTAATGAAAAAAGTCACTTAACATGCCGATTGTCATTCGGTTAACACTTAAACTAAAAGCAATAAGATTATGTCACTTTAAAGCATTAGAAATAAAGATAACTGAAAAAGTAATCACTATGAATAATCATAAATATGATCAAAAATTGATATCAAATGACTCACTTCGTTTATTTTTTCAGTATCAGTTTCATTTCGATTAGCTCGAAACTCCGCATTAATCTTTTCTCTGGCGGCTAGATAGAAACATCCACAAGCACGCACATAAGCACAAATATTTTTATAAATAAACAAGATAAAATTTATACTTAACTGACATATAAAATACATATAAATGATTAATAATAAAGTAGATTATCCATATCAAAATTTGCTATTTAGATATTTAGAATAAAAGACAAAAAGACTGAGGAACTTAATTTTCAACCAGTTTCTCCGTATGGTATTATATACTAACTACTCCAGAGAAGTCGGTGATATCACCCTTATTATTTGTAATCATAAATGGCTTTGCAATAAATATCATACATCATACCCAACGTAGATACAGGCAAATATGTAAACCGGTTCGAGCTGCCACAACACATTAGCACAGCGAATTGCCAGATTAGTAGACATAGTAACAGCATAAATTATAGTAAAAAATATTAGACATAGAAGAAATAATTTGGAAAGAAAGAAATAGATCGATATAACAAAAAACAAATACTTAAGGTAATTAAGAAGCTTGAGATGTGGCAGAATATAGAGAGCGGAAGCATTTATGCCACTGTGACCAACTCTGAGACATGCCACCACCCAAAGGCGGCGGCGTTATAATTCATAGACGAACAAACCAGATTGACGAAAATGCCTCTTGAAATTTCTTGCAAAACTCATTCTTACAATGATGCAAGTCTGTAATAAAAACCCTAACTCTTATTCCAAACCTAACTCTTAACACTAATTCGTTGCATGAATTCATAAACTTACTTTGACCTTAGTAAGTGGTTGGAGTTTCTCAGGACTACTTAAGGATCACCCAAAAGTCTTTCACGAATTAAAGTCGAGCAGAAGAGGAAAATATGTTGAGGTGTTCAAAAGATAAAATTCAACTTGTCGCTAATATAATTGAAGTATCAGAATTTGGTGTGTAAAGCACCACAGAATTTTCCAATTTACGTTCACAACTGTACAAAGTATACATTTTCGTTTTATTATGATCTTTCAGTAGCTTTTCAATCAATTAGTCAATCAGTTTATGTTAGTGCACAACCTGCAAAGTGTGTATCGATCTAAGTTGTCAAATTTAACTTCAGAACAAACAGAAGAGAAATAAACAAGATAAGAAACATAGGATGAGAAATTTCACCAAAACTAATGAAAATCTAAACATGAAGAATAAAGTTCGAAAAGGGAACAAATATAATTGAATAATGGAAAGTTGGAAATAATAAATGAATCAAGATTTAAATGATGATAGAGAATAAATGAAGCTATGCCCTACTGTGATTTATCTTACATCATTTCATCGTCACTCACCATTTTCAACCTTAATGATTTTATAATGGATATCAGTTTTTAAAAAGTACATTGAACCAATATCTATAATACAATTCTTACTATTCATTAAAGAAAGTTGATAAAAAGAATCGGTACGTAATCATCCATTCATCGTTTTGTAGAAAATTCAACCAACCTATCCGTCCATTTATTTATTATCAATATTTATCCTTAGCTAAATAAATTTGTATGATAACTGTGTTCAAAAGTCTTTTCTTCTCAACAATAGTTTAAATAATAGTGAAATGAGTAAAACAAAATTGTTCATAAACAGTTGGATATCAGATTTTCAGAGGTAATCACAAGAATATATGGAACATTAACTTCCAATGACTTTTTGATAAACATTAACACAGAGAAAGTAAAATTTTTGAAAAAAAAGAAACTGTGTGTTGCTCGTGATACTTCAATCTACAACATTAACTCAACATGATAGTTGTAAATTATTCTGAAGATATATGTACGTGAATAAACTCACAAACCAACTATATAAATATTGGAATTTACCTTGTAGTGTTTCGATATCAGCTTTAAATACATTTTCACATGTACGGTGAAGTTTTTTAAATATATTCAAGGCCTAAATCATAAAAGGAAAATTAGTTTATCATTCTGTAAATACCAACAAAAAAAAGAGAAAAAAAGGTAAATTAATGGAATAATCAAATATATGCCATTTATGCAATGTTCAACAAAGACAAACAGAAAAGGCTGTAAAATAAAACATATTTTAATCTTGTTACTAACTATATTACACTAAAAGTCAACCATAATCTAGATAATAACTTCTATAAAAGATGACGAACTATCACATTGAAATTACTGCTGTTCTCTGAGAGTTATTCAATACACAGAAGAAACAGTCATAATGATCAAAGAAAAATGTTTATTTTTCAGTCAAAATTATTAGTTAACTAGGGAAAGTTTATGAATACATTCCAGTGGAAATTAGACCATCTGAAATAAAAACTAATACTTTGTAATTAGAAATGAAGTTTGAAAAACACCAAACAACCACAGTTGGTATTATAAGACAAACCTAAATAATATCTAGTACTTGTTCTAATAAACTGAAGTACAAGAAACTTTAATTTAGCCTTTTTCTGAAACAAAATTATCTTTTTACTAATTCTAAAAATCCAGTTAACCTATTATTAAAAATGTTATATAAGCTTCACATTTAGATAAGACTGAACATACTCATAAATGTTAACATTAGGGAAGTTAAACAATACTAACACATTGGCGAATATACAGATTCACGTTAGTTAAATTGAGTGTTTAACCACAGATTAAACAATCATTTTATATATTACAAAAATAGTGGCTGATAGATTATGCAAAACAAACATGTGAGATAAACATAAGGTTATTTGTTTTCACCATACAAAATAACTCATATGTGTAAATAGACCTTATCAATTGAAGCGATAAGAAACACTTTTTGGAGTTAAGTAATGTAATTTCCATTATGTAAACTGAACAAAGAATAACAAATAGTAGCGGAGAGTAGAATTCCCTGTTACAAATCAGTCTATATATATAAAAAAAACTTGGAAGCTTTATCAGTCAACCGTTGAGAAAAGCGACAATCACATCTCTTATTTATAAGTAACTAAATCATGCCAGGTAAGTTATTAATGTAGTCAGTAAACCTAATGACTAAACAATTTAGTACACTTATTTTGATAACGGATAATCCATAAATCAGTGAAATATGTAAGTCTGACTTAATCAGAGAATTAACGTTTATAATATATCGCTTAACAATCATTTGTCATTCACGTAACTCAAAAATTTAAAACTTACTCGTGCACGTTGCATTACAATCATATATAAGACGACATCTAGAAAAAGTGTAAACAGTAGTTATATGAGCAAATAACTTATCGATTCGAACTAGATAATTATGATAATTAATAAATGATGGTTTGATTGCTTCACAGTAAACAAATAAACAATAAGAGAGAAATTTTGATAGGTGTAGATTAGTAGCATAAAAATAACTGCACAATAAGCTTGAGAGCATTGGACTCGAACTATTTCAGTGACTTTATCCTGTCAGGTTGGGTTATGTCAACATTTTCTATACAATCAAACTGAAGATTTAAGCCAAAGACAGATTCAAAGTGGGTCAGTGTCATGCAAAAAATTGGTTTTGGTGAAGTTTAAAATTGTGGGAAACCATGTAAAGAAAAATACAACTGTCAGGAATGTTAATGGGATTAGTAAATAATTATGTTTTTGGTTTGGAAGTATCTATGAATTTCCTATTCCATCTTCGAGATAATATTTGGATATGTTCTAGTATTTATATTGTTCCAGTTGGTACATTCAGGTATATGCGAACTATCATCACTCATACTTTCACACATTAAACCAAAAGACGTATGCAACATGTTTCTGTATAAACGTGCCAAAAAACAACAATATTGATTATTTACATTGCCATTACTAAAGTGAAATTTTAAGTTATGTTGTTACAGCTATAAACATACATCAAAACATAACTGTGAAAGAAAACAATAGGAAACAGATTATACGATGACATAAAATTAGATATCTACCTTTTAGCGTGTAATGTAATTGATTTACCAGTTATCGGTTTATTTATCTTACTTCTAATCACAATGTTTGTGTGATGATTAGCATTGATACTCTGTTGTCCGAAATGGAGTACATAGTGAAAGGTTCGAACTTTACAACGTATTACTTGAAATGTAAATACTTTAACAATTAAATCACTGCTAATTCCTAGAACAATATTGGCATCTTTAATTATGTTAATATTATCGATTATGAAATATGTAAACATGAACTTAATATTGTTTTAGTGAGAGATAAACCAATCATGAACTTCATCAATGAATATTACATTATCCTTTAACTTCATCCATGTAACTTTTAAATTAGGTCAATGATAGTGATTCAATATGATACATTCAATTAAGGAAATAAAAATTAGATTTATATTTTGTTTAAATAAAAACAAAATAAGACAGAACATGAAATTTTTATTAGTAGTATCATTATTAACAATATGAATATAAAACAGAAATATTCTAGATGTAAACATAAAAAATATAAACAATCAAAGTAAACAGAATGAAACTGAAATTACTGATTTGAAAATGTAAACAACAATTGTTAAAACAAACATAGAACTAATTGATAATCATTTTTAAAAAAACAATTGTGAAATAATGAAACAAAAAAGAAGAAAAAAGAAAGAGAATAACAACAACCACAAATTCAAGAAATAAGTGAAATTATAAACAACAAGAAAAGCATAAAATAACTAATAATGATTATGTAATGTATAATCAGAAGAGTATCAATATAAATGAACTAAACATTTAACGTATACAGAAAGGGAAAATAAACAAACAGACTAAAGTACAAGATGTACACAACAGAGAAAATGATTATATTTTTGAGAAGAAATTTAATGTAAATTTTATAAAACTAACACGAATAACATGTGAATAATTGGGAATAAATTGTTTGAACCAATTAATGTTATAATTATTATTCAATTTTCGATGAATTAACAATAATTGAATTATATTTGGTTTCATGGAATTATTCATCCACTGTCCTAAAGTAGAAAAATATAGAGAGGGAAAGAAAGAGAGAGAGAGAGAGTAAAAGAGTACACTCACATATACACATACACAAATGTACATAAGTAATTAATTATTTAATAAAGAAATGATATAATAAAGTGATAATTAAAGACTGAATGAAACATGGAACATTACTGATACATAATACGTATTCTTAGTCAACTTAATAAAAAATAATAAATATTTACCTGTAATATAAATTTTCACTAATATCTCTATTGAGCTTACAAGGAATGCGAAGAAAAAACAATACATTTGGTGATATTCAATAATCATTTACAAATTCAAATGATAACTACTTAGAAGATAGAGAAAACTGTCATTTCTGTGTTGAATTGTCTTTATTTAAATTCTGAACAAGCATTTAATGAAGTAGTGTAACTATTTCAAGATTATTCTAAAACTAACTTTTAACATATTTACATATATGATAATATTTGTTTTGTTACGTTTTCCATTTGATTCAAGTGTGTCTGTGGCCAACTGCGTTTGATATCAATGAGGAATGATGAAATATAGTTCCTTAACTAACTTGCTTTACTTTTATTGACTTAATCACGTTATTGCATGCAGCGGAATAAAGCAAGTCAAATATGAGAGTGCCTACGAATACATGTATTTTATACATCTTTTAGTGTAGACAACCAATGAAAGATGAGAAACGGAGAAAGTAAACGTGCCTACTCAATAAATGATGAGTAAGAGTATTACCAAGCATGAAAGAGATGCAAGTATACTGATACAAGTTCTATCATACGCATATCCTCAAGGTTATGCACATAAATAACAGAATGACTGGAAGGATTAAAAGGTTAAGATAAATCATGTAAGTGTTTAATGAAACTAATTGTTACAATTTCGTTCGATTTACAGAAACTTTTGTGAAAACTTCAGGTTTGTAACGTTTGTGATCGTAACCTAAACTTTTTCTATTTTCGGCTGCATTTTATATACATGATATTGTTGTCATATATCCTGTACGTAATAATGTTTCTGATTCGCTATGAGACATGATAAATCCACATTACCATCGCTATCATCAAACATTCCCTAAAATAAAAACATACCACATGCTTTACTAGACACCACTGGAAAATTATAACTACTTAAAACGATCCCAACAACGTCCATACGTGGTTTGTATAGGCTTAAACAGTTCTTGACCTATGCTATTCGACCGCAAACTTCACGTTACGAACATTTGGTTGATGTGCTCCTGATCGATTGCTATGTTTTAAGAGATTACGAGATCACCTAAATCGGCGAACGGAATGAAAGATCAGCGACATAGCGACAAAACAAGTTAACTTTTCCGATGCGCCCCAGCTCCTCTAACTAGAGGGAAAAGACTTGGTTGAGATGAGGGAAAGGTATATTCCACAAGCAGCCAGAAACAAGAACAACAAGCACACAACTCAAGCGTATATATACAATATAAAAATGCTCTTCGGAAACAGCACATTAAAAGAGGCAACCAACCAATGACATTTAGGGTCCTTTCATGTGGGAAATACAATCTGAAAGTAAAAATAGGCGCTTTTGGAGTGAAAACGAGAAATTCAAATTTCCAAGATAAGGTTACAAAAATAAGACTTTTACCAAGTGATTTTTGGGGATCTAGCATCCCCAACATCAATATAGTGGTACAGGTGGGAAACCTGGTAGACCATTTTCTCGAAGAGACACCCTATGAGGAGCAACAGCTATACAATACACCTTTAACTCGGATGAGAAGCGATTACAGTTGTTAACCGCCTGGAAACTTACGCGACAGGACATCGTCCCTATTCCTGAGATCTAAGAAACAACTAATGGGATCATATAAGCTAGGTGAGGTGGTTTCGAAGCACAAGTAGACAATTTGAGACTTTATCTTTGCCTATGTTGACCCTGTTCATAAGCTGTTATAACAATCGTACGAAGGACTAATTTAGGTGACAGGCTTTGTTAACATGTTTCACCATCAACAAGAACGCCAAGATGAAGATTAATTACAATCACCGTATTTACTGACACAGAACAAGATAATGAGGTTGTCAGTGAGAAATCAATTTGTTTCCCCCTAGTCAGCAAGACCTGATCCTATTCTCAATAATCCACCAACATTTTTTCAACAGTACTTCCTCCATCATGTCCGATATTTGACTGACTGTATCGACTCCATACTCTTGTCTTTTGGTGTCACCTATATGTCTACTTAAAACAACTGTGGTTAAAAGTAAGACAACTAGAGATATTACATCCATATTCTAATTAAAGTATGTGCAAAAGGATATGAACTAAAGATCTAATTGTTTAAAACAAACCACTAACCAATAAATACATCAGGTTATTCGACAAAATCACAGAATAAAAACATAAATATTCAATTTATTCCACCCTAAAACTTTGCTTTGTTTCTTAATCTCTCACATAAAAGCGGTGTAGAACAGTTATAAATTTACAATCGACTGGATGTCCATTAGTCTATAATTAGATTAAAATACTCAAAAAAAGTAATGTACCCAATACTTGGAACAAAACTGTGAAACATTACATTATCTCTTTGGATAGGATATTAAAATAAGATGTAGACAACTGAAAAACACCAATATAAGAAAATAAATAGTTCAATATTTAATTCCAATGATAGATTTAATCAAAACTTACTCGTCTGATATCATTATTTTGGAATCTTCTGTACAGCCAAGATCAAATGTAACATGAAAAGACGGGTGACTTTGTTGTTCGTTATTAAGTATTGATTTAGTCATTTTTAGTGTCATACCTTGAAGTAATAACAAAGAATAGCATTTACACAAATATATTTTAAAAGAATAATTACTGAAAATATTTAATGAGAACACCATGTTTAAAAAAAGCTTTGATACATGGGGTGTCCAGTAATTTCTATAATTTAACAATTAAGTAAAACCTTCAAATACACCTAGTCATACACAGTGAATAAAATGGAAATATTTGAATGAAAACCCGGTTGTATAGTTGATTCTGAAAGAATCTAAATTATGGTCAAATTCACAGATCAACTGAGAACATAGAGCATGAAATAACACATTAGTAGTACAATTATGTGTAGTGCAATGAATGTATAAAATAATAATATCCGGGAGAGATAACACAAACGGTATCAAGAGATTAAAACGAAATGGACGAATAACCAACAAATAAGTGTGAAGAATGTAACAACTATGGGCTACCAACACAAATTCTCAAGTAAACAACTTAAAATTCCTAACCCTCAGTTAAAAGATGTAACATGTCACGGTGAGCTGTTGATAACTATATGTAACTCGATAAACAGTTACAAACTGATAACAAGAAATAAGTTTTTATGTGAAGGTGAAACAAGTATAAACCAAAGATAAATTTGAATGATCAACACTGAACAGAAAATAGATATTCACTAAACTATTTATATCGGTCTTTAATAAATAGCATGTTATTCAACATAAAAATTGCCAATTGATGCTTATAAGCGAAAAGAATAACGCTAAAAAAAGGTTAAAATAGGACTAATTGAACCATCGTGAAAAAAAAACAACGCAAAAGTAACGAGTCAACAAGAATATCGTAAAGAGACATGAGATGTTTCAAAAATCACATAACGAAAAAAAAATTAGTTGATGGTGAAGATTAACAATTAAATATTACTAATAGAAAATTACGAGTATTATTCATATTTTTGTTAAAAGTACCAAGTACAGTAGAAAAGTATGGTTGTTGACTTTCAATTTTTTTCTACCCGTGATGAAAAATGGATACCCATCTACATCCAAAATAGATATAATTGAGACTTATAACACCCGTTCTCTAAATAACTGATCTTTAACAATTATGAAGTGTTTTTTTTATGATAGAATTTATAATTAGTGATATAGCACACTATGAGTTTCATAGTGTACTTGAATTATTCACGAAAAATAAAGTATTACTTTTTACTAGCAATCCAATGAATAAAAATATGAAATTACTAACAAACAGTTAGTTTATAGATCAATTCACACTAAATGTGAAATGATAAACATTCCTTATATAAATTAATCTTTTTTACATAAAATTACTCTGGTAGCCTAACTATTGATAAAAAATGGAGGATACAAGTAGCGTAGCATTATATTTCATTATTAAAGAAATATGGAATTTATTCGATGACTTTTTTTGAAAGACAAGAATCTGTCACATTGATCATGAAGTTAAATATTCCCGGGGGAAATGCCTAGATGGAAAATGTATACACAGTGAATACCATGTAAAATATGATTGATTTTATGGACATCTCAGCGTTTCATAAACTAAAATGTTTGTGAATGCCATCGAGTGATGAACTAACTTTAGAACTTCAGTTTGCAATAAATAAAAGATCTATCACATTGTTGACAAGCAGATTTCAAGAAGGTTTGTCGAATTTAAAACTAACTATTACTTAGCTGACGGAGTCAATAAATATAAACCTACATTACCATATACTATTGATATTTAATAGGGGGTTAAATCTCGCGCAATTTACGTAAAAAGGTTATTAAATCAATAAATTTTAATTAAATAACAGGACGTTTAGATGAAGATGGATAGTGGTTAGCAGTGGAATTTAGGAGGCACATTTTGTCCTCTTTGAAACTTATCAGCAGTTGGATGTATTCGCCATATCCTAGTGTTAATGTTCACTCAAAGACTCGAACCTAATACTTTTGGCTTCAGAAATTTTGATCATGTTAAATTATTTATTTGGTTTTCCATACACTGATGATAATACATTACCCTCTTTTCCTTCTTATGCGATGATGTTCACATTCAGTAATGTCATAGCAATAGAGACAATGACCCAAACACTAGATGTTGCAGAAAATTCTTGGTATTTATTTAACATTAAACAAGCTGGATTTTATCATGTTCATTATGCTTGACAATAATTGAGAACCATTGACAAGACAGTTGTATAAAGACCACCATGTAAGTAGTAACCGTTATTTGAAAAATTATTAAGATTAATCACCTCCAAAGCCTATACAAAGATAATTACATTGATTGTGAATTATCTGTTAATAGTTTATGGAATTGAGCTTGTATAGACGTCACAATAATCCATGATGTTGCATAACCCTTCATCCATTGTCTGAGACGGGTAACTGATGATGCACACTACTGAAAAGTCCCATACTACGACGAAACGGTCATCCAGTGCTCTCAGGTTTTCAGTGATGGTCTAGCTTAGATTGACTCGTGATTTTGACTGTGAGAATAATTATTTGTTCTTTTTATTCTGAGCCTCGATCAAATGTCAGATAATGATAGTATACTTGTTCACTCACAAAAAACTACATATTTTCTAATAATATATCATACATGGATTATTATATTACTACTGAATTTCATTGAACTAGTCTGATCACAAAAATTAAGATCTGTATAATGTCTTACAGCAAAAAAGATTGAAGTCACATATTCTACAGACCCTACTCAATATTACTATTGTTACTGAAACATAACGTTTCACATAAACAATATAACTCCAAAGATCCTAACATAAAAAATTTTTGTTGTGACAGATATAAATCAATTTGGATTGTATAACTCAATTTTCATTTCATTTTATGCAAGCATAAAGCAGTGAAATGTCGAATCACTTAAAGAACAACTGACGACATTGTAATTCAATTAACAATAATGACTAAAAAATAAACATTCAATTAGTTACTACTACTCAGTGAATAATTGTTTAAAATGCAAATAATAAATTTCACTAACAATAATTGAATACCCACAGTTTCGTGAATACGATTTTCAGTTACACTTGTTGTTGCATGAAGATAGAAAATAGTGTTCGATTGCCAAAACTAAATTAATCAGAGAAATGACTGAAACTATAACTTAGTACGTAAAACCAACGACTGGCATTAGTCAGTAGATTTCTAAATCTAAGGTTAATTTAAAAAACCACCGATGCTTTTAGAAAGTCATTAGAGTATTTTGATAAGGGAGATACGCTAATCGAACATATAGTAATTTTTTAATGATTTAACGCACATTTTATTAATACTACACAATTTCCACTCTTAATATATGATAGTGACTGTAGGATATGGAAGTCCGCGAAACAACTAAAATCAACAACAGAAAACTTAAACTGAGTAAGTCCAAGAACAAAGATCATGACTAGTCAACGAAATTTACTCGGCTTTATTGCAAAATGTATGAAATGTAGGTTTTGATAACTAAGAGTACCAGAGAATCTTGAAAAAATATCTCCTGTTCCAAGTTTTTGTATACCATTTAAAAAAAGGTAACGGTAAAGATGAATAAACATACTCAGATAAAATAAAATGGATAAAAAGTGCTTACCTATATCTTCAGTTTTCGCAGGCTACAATATAGAATGTTTAAAAAAGAGCGAAAGACAGGTATTTCAACTTACAAAACTTGTATAGTACCGACCAAAGAAAACTTAAGGACATAATTCTATTAAGATAAACTGAATACTATTCAGAATTATTGCATATGTAAACTACTATTATTACTGATGGTTTAGTGATTACTATAATTATAAGACACCTATCTATACGATCAGTTGTTGCATTTATCCTGACTCTTGAATCCGCCTACCCACATCGACTTTTTTAAAATACTGATATCAGATAAATAGTTCTTACAATTCAAATCAGTAAGACGAGAGAAAAAATGCACAAGCCAGTGAGAATAATTATACCAACAGAAGTAAAATATTAAAAAAATGAGAGATACCATTGAAGACGAAAACTGACGAATACATATGATTTTCAATATTTTGAGTAAATGGATCTCTGTAGCAGTGCTATCGATTTTGATTTACCTAACTTAGTATGAATACTGGTTGCAATATAATGATTTTATTTTATAAAAGACAATCTATTTTCGAAAAACGTTTTTATATATTTGAATAGATCAGTCAGTCAGTCAGCTACAATTCAATTTTATAACGAGATAATTGCTTCTAAGGTTACTTTATATTATTACTATTATTACTATTATTATTATTATGTCGTTTTGTAATGCTTGTAACAAAAAAATTAAATTGAACTATTAAAAGTACAAAAATTAAATAGAATATTTGAAATTTCATAACTTGTACGATTAGGTCGATATTACTTTTCAAGTAACCGAATAGTCCATTTTTATAAGACTTGTGTTGTTCTTATTTCCAAATCAAAATCACATCTTTATTTACATTCAGAAAAATCTGAAGAAATCTACACTTCTTAATGCACGTACTATGCATAACCAATACACACATAAATAATACATGCTACATGATTGGATGACAATTTTAAAGTAGCTTGGCTATTAATACATTGATCTGATTTTGCATGGCTTCTTTGTATTTAAATACAAGCTAAAGTTATGATGACTGAATGATTCCATAGTAGAGAAAATGATGAGTCTCTGCTTATAAAGCCAAGCACAGAAGACAAATAATTAGCAACACAATCAGGAACATTTTAAATCAAGATAAGGCATCACTTTAAGAAGTCACTGGTTGTTGGTTTTTGTAATGTAGGTACTTAAAGAACGCGTAATTACCGTAATTAATTGTAAGAGATATGGCTAAGAACTGGTCTCAATGACACAGATGCACTCACTCTTCAATCTCTCTTAGATCTTGAGCTTTAAAATTACCTTATATCTTTTTATTCCGCACATTAATTCTTCCTCATATTATATTGTCTATCCTTAATGTTTCCTACTACCACTGATATTATTATTACAACATCTACTACACTGAGATTTCTCTTGATAGTTTTATTTATGTTAATACATGTAGCAAACTGAACCGATGCACAAGTCCTACGTTGCTTATGATTGACTGACTTAAAGAGAGAGTATAGCACACTTATAGTAATTGGCAGAAAATGTTAAATAGGTAGTATTTGTAGGATAGATAGTTTAAGGAACACATTTTGTACCTCGATCACGTCATTTTAAATAATCTACTACATTCTTGCCAATTAATAATGTCATTATTAAATATTTAAAAATGTAAAATAACTAACTAACCTGAAGATCGGAACCTAATTTAAGAAATTTCAGACCTTGTTCGGTAATATGATCCGGATGACTAGAAAGCCAGCTAGTATAATTGGATAAATTAGACGTTGATGTTTGTTTATCTATGAACAATTGTCGACAATCTGTAAGTGATGTTCGAAGTAAAGCTAATTCATCATCTTCAAGTTTATTATAATCAATGTCCTGATCTTTATCATGTATGATGTGAACATCATGATTATCTCTTTGAAACGATGTGTGACCATAAGACACTTCATCTTCGGAATCCTTGGACAACGGCATTCCTGACAAACGACGATAAAGTCTATAACTGACTGCTTCGGCTGAATCTAAAGAAGTTGATGTTAAAGTAGACGGTAACCAGGCAGGAATGCGAGTCAAATATTCAGTCTGAATTAAGGGAATATAACAATACAAATACAAGTTAACAAGGAGAATATTATGAACTATTTGTACTAAAAAATAAAAAGTGTTGTTGTACTTTAGTCTATTAAACGCAAACATGTCATAAAGCTTTGCTCAGACAAAAAGTCTAATGAACTAAAAAGAAGCATAAAATAAATTGCTTAAAATTAATATTATTCATCGTATATGATATAGAAAAGCATAATTTGATGATAACTAGTTATATGTACTGGATACCAATGAAAACCTGGAAACACTGAACAACCATTTCGTTCTAGTATGGGACTCCTCGGTAATGTACATCCATGATTTCGCACGCAGGACTCAAATCTACGACCTTCGATCTCGCGCGCAAACGGCTATTAATTAGTGTAAGACCATAAATCTGTAAACAATCACGATATATAGGTTTATTAATATTAACTTATCAAACTAGCTCATTGAATAACATCACATATTTATATTCAATATCAATTCTTTAAATCTACAAGAGTTAATACAGCTGTCCCTTGTCTCTTAAATACAATTTATTTACTTTTAAATACACAAAAGATAACTGTATAAGACTCAAAATAAAAACTATAAGAATAACATTCATCAAATACAAACATATAAAATCGAATTTATGCAACGAATTTTATGAATTCTATATGTCAAATATTCAGAAAATAATAAATTATCAAAAAGAATAGGTTATAGATATAAAGCTTCAATATAATAAGTAAATTTGGCTTTACCTCTAACCAACTTGGTTTAGTATTTTCAGAATCGGAAACACATAAATGTTCATCAGATATACGATGAACAAAACGTGATGATGAGAGATCAACCCGAGCTTTAGATATATTTTCATTATATAATGTAAGATCGTTGGTATCTGATAAGGTAAAACGTCGAGCAGATTTGAACCCTCCCATTTTACCTGAAATCTAAAAACATGAGTACGTTATGTAGGTTGAATATCTTCTCAGCAAAGAATATATATTTTACTGTCCAAAATCGAATTTGTGCGGTATCGAGTCATTAAAGAAAATGAAGCTTCAAAAGTAAAATGAACTATAATCCTCCGGGGTTAGTTTCTATATTACCTGATTAGAAGATGTAGACAACCAAAATGATTCAAAATGTTAAGGTAATCACTCATGACTGGAATTACAAAGATATAACTTTATAGGAATATTGTACAGAATTAAATCTAAGGACGATTAACTATAATTACAAATACGTTCACTTCAAAGAAATAAATGTCAATAACATATTCGTTTCTTGATCATTAAGATTAGTTTAAGTGCATAATGGTAACTGATCATCCAATTTGTATTTAAAAAGGAATTATTATGATTAGCATTGTACATAAGTATCTACAAGACATAGCTGATAGATATGACATTTAGTGAGATTAAAAATAATAGATTCTCAAAGAAACAATGTTAGTTCGGTAGATTTTATGGGTGAACTCAATGTGTTGAGATTAAGATGGTGGTTGGAGGTAGTCAACAGGAAACCCTGGACCCGGGTTTCGTGCTACTTGGCACTCGTCAGCAAAGTGTACCTGTAATCTTGAGGGAACTGGTGCTCCCTGACGTTACCACTGAGCGATCCGAGCCGCGACTGACCTCCTGTAGGACTGAGATGTAATCACCCGGTGATCAATCAATTGTGATTACATCTCAGTCCTACAGGAGGTCAGTCGCGGCTCGGATAGCCCAGTGGTAACGTCTCTGACTGTGAAGCTGGGTGACACGAGATCGAATCCGTCAGGGGGCACCGGTTCCCTCAAGATTACAGGTACACTTTGCTGACGAGTGCCAAGTAGCACGAAACCCGGGTCCAGGGTTTCCTGTTGACTACCTCCAACCACCATTTAAATCTCAATATATAGTGCCCGCAGTGTCGAGTCACTTAGACTGGTGGCCACATTGCAACATGATCGATAGCATTCGATCTGCACTAATAAGGACTAGACAAGCATGACATTGATCACTACCCAGTGATCAATCAATTGTGAACTTAATGTGTAAATTAAATGAACTTACTGCTTTTATTGCTGAACTATTACCTTGAACCATACTCGCAACACGTCTGGTTTGGTGTGACTTCAACCACATTGATTTCGGTGTAGGTGTTTGTGTACCAACGGCAGATTTAACAGTTTTAGAAGTTTTTCTAGTTTCATACCAAATACTGGTCCATAAACTATTCAGTAAGTCCAGTGATGGACTATCATTTGCTTTTAGAGAGCTTTGACAAAAGGATCTCAGAAATTCACATCGTTCATGAGGATTTAAAGGTAAAAGCCACTTCTTCAGAGAAGAAATGACATCTTTTAGAGCAAATTCAGTAGCATTCCTCACCTTATCTTTCAGATCCGATGAACACTGAAAATTAGAAAAAACAAAGTACTAAACATGAGATTTGTAGAATGTGGTGAGGATAAACCTATACTGTTAAAAGCAAAATTATGTTGCAAGGTATTTATTGATTCTTGACTTATTATTGGCAAAAATACTTTCCTTTAATAAAAGTAGAACATGAATAACTACAAGTTAATTTGTTCGACAGATATAACAGGATAACACAACAGTAAATATTATTCAACAAACATCTAACGATGGAGGCATGAAAGATACACTTATCTTCCAAGAACCTATTCCGCATTCCAAAGAATCAAGGGGAAAAAACACAACCAACATTGGAATAGGACTATGGACTTCAGATGACACTGATCTTCATTTGTCAGCCACTTCTGGTCATTTAGATGAAGAATCACTAAACATCAACTCAAAAACACATTCCATTTAAAACTAGCCTAAACCTCTATAGTAAAAATCCATGCGCAATTGTCTACTGAACTACAGTCTAACACTTCATTACTGATTGTAGGTTATTATCCTTTCCATTAGATCTTTCTGAAATGTTTGTCGAAAAACGCGTGATGTAAAATATAACTTGTAAGACCCAGTTTCAAAGTCCATCCTAAAAATGCGTGATTTAGAACCATCGTGTTGACTAACAAATACTGTGTTCACGTACAACACAGATAACCAAAACTTTAATGCCCTAAGTGTCAGACAAAGAAATACCTCCTTTTTATTAGTAGTTCCGTATATAGCTGAACTTCAGCAAAATGGAAATAAGATGAAAGCTTTCTTAGTGAACTGTTTTAAAGAAAATGTAATTAACATCTTGGACTTCAGGAAACTTCATATACATAATCTAGTGAGCACTTTACAGCCCTTTACTTTGAATCATTTGCATACTGACAAGATGTAAGATGAAAACACAATAGCATCTTTAATGTATACATATGCCGAATGGCCAGAGACTTATTAAGGAACGCAATTCCTATCGTTCAATTGTGGACAGAATCTGTTACCCATATTTCAACTGTTTTCATTATAATCTTGAAAACCAGTAATGAAATAAAATGTTGACGTCAATAAAAGTAGTTTCACTTTCTAAAACTATATTCCCAAAGCAATGCGTTTGTGCATTAAATTAATAATTTGTAACCCCGACTTCAACGGCGATGAACAAGACTGGCTCCCATTACTTTCTTACTTGTCGCTAACTAAAGACAGGTTGAACTTTTTCATGAGCTTTAATGATAGATACTCAAGAGGATTTAATAACCTCTGGTACTCGTTAGCAATGTCACTGATTGTCATCTTTAGGTTTTGATCAAAACGGCTCGAAAGCTGTGTTCGAATATCAGCAAAGTTTTGCGACTACAAGCTCCAAATGATAATTAACGGTTCGAACTGGCAGCTCATCAGCAACTATGGTTGTAATCAATCACATTGGCGAGTTATAGTGTAAAGCCAACTGATTCCCTTAGTTGACAACTGAGAATAATGAACCCTCAAACTTAAGAACTCATCCCTTACTGTTCTTGCACAATGGAATAGACCAAAAAGTCTATCGAATTCCACCAAGTAGATTTACTTAGTGGCAACCATTAAAGAAGTAATCCTGACGTTAGGCGCATAATTTAAGACGAAAATGAGATGTGTCATCGATAAGACTTTAAACATTCATGTGCCAGTATGGTTGAGACATGTGTTATGATGCTCTGAAAAAAATTCTGTAGATAATCCGGTTGCTAGAGATTGAGTAAAGTAACCTCTCAATTACTCCGACGATTGATTCGAACAGTTTGTTAATCTATTCTTCTGAACTTTCTTATGCAATAATGTCGCGGACACATGACTAGACTAAAAATGGTTTAGTCTCGATAGTTTACACAGTACAGTGTATTCACCACAAAGCATGCTTTGACGAACACTGAATCAACTGAAATGCTTGAGATAGAGTTCATCTAGCCAGTTATACTGGGACATTGGTTGCAGATAAGTATCTTAGAAGAACTAGATCCATAAATAACTATTTTATGTACAATCAATACTACTTACAAACTATGCACTATATTAGTTAATGTTGAAGAAAACTGACAATTGACCCACACCTAAAGTTACTTGACAGATCTTGTGATAGGTGTATAAAACTCTTGTTAGTGTATTTGAAATGACTGAGCACAACAGTTTCATCGATGTTCTGTAAAAAAAAAACAGACTGATTTGTCGTGGAATAAATACCTTACTCACAGTGTACTGAGACGGTTAGGTGAATGAAATTCATTAAAAGACATGTCACTGATTTTGAATATTGTCGTGGAATCATTTGGTAAGAGCTATTTCTAAGTAACCCTAGTTCAGAAGTAACCTTACACTCACAAAACTACATGTTATCTTAATTCTGTAAATCTACAAATAAAATTTCGCCATTAAATATTAAAGAAATTTAATGTATTTAACAACCATAAAATAATTGGGAGATTTAAATACTTCTCATTTAAAGAAGTATGAGATCAGAGAGAGGAAAAATATAAACTGAATTTATCCCAACTTTGATGAAAACCCTGGTTAACAAAGTGAAAACTCATTTGATAAAGAAATGGAACAATAGTCCTAGAAGTGTTTCCTCCAACACTTATTGTAGATAACTATGATAGTTAGCTATCGTACATTTATATCAATTACAGGAAATTTATGTTATCTGGATACCATGATGTTCTCAAAACAATAGTGATTCACTATTTTCACATCCGATCGAAAGGTAATATTTTTTGGATGATTAACGTAACATATGTCAGAATTTATGTTAACTATAATTTATAGACTATGACATAAATCTTTCATTTGAAAAAACCCTGTTTCCATTCTCTTCTCAGCTTTCTCGTCTAAACTATATTCATATATTTAGCTTATATGTAAATAATTATTTGAACAATTTTTTTTATTCTCTTACAATTATTGTTTACAATCCAGATTTAATCAAAACTTTTCTTATATATTTTGACTTGAATAATTTATACTACTATTTCTAGATTGTAAGCACGTGAAAAAATCCACAAAATTAATCCATTTGTATTGCTCTATTAAGATCGTTGTTCTTGACTTTATTGAAATCCATAAATGAGAAAGACTGTATAAAATAAACAAATCTCTTGAAATAATTCTGTATGTAATTAAACTTTAACGTTTCACATACATAACTCTATCCAACATTTTATAGACTAGATGTCAGACAGTCAGATAATACAGTTTTTAAATTGATAATGTAAGATTTTCAGTTCGTTGTATGATTTCGTATAAGATTAATAAGTTGCTTAATTTTATGTACTCAAACAATATCCATTCATTTGAGATCATGAATAAAAATATTATTTAATGTATTTGAGTACACAGTTTAATATATTTATTTCTTGATAAATAGCTTTCAGATGATAAAAGCCAGTACAAAAACAATACTTTTTATCGAACCATTGAATCACTATACATCAAATCAGTAAGATAAAGGAATAAATAATGCTGTAAGTTGAAATACAAAGGCAAAAGACGTCTTCAGGGTTTTTTCGGAAAGAGTAGGTTGGGTACTAATTGTTTATTCGGCTACACCAAAAATAGACCCACCTTGGGAGTTGTATCAAGTGAATGTGAACTCTTAGTATTTGTTGAAGAGATATTATTGTTTGTGTCTGATTCCATAACAACATTGTTACAATCATCATTATTGTCGATATCATTCTTGGAATTGTTATCGGAAGTTCCAGTATCACTTGGAGACCCCAATTGCTGAAGAAACTGTACCAATAAAGGTAGTAGGATTTTACGTGTCATTCTGACATTATTCACAATTGCTATAAAATGACTGAAATCAGGGACAGACTGAGGAAGTAAATCTAGATCAAGCTTCGGATTCAGGAGAAATTTAATCAGCTATAGTAAATAGGAAAAAATAAATAATGAATAAAAGTAGAGTTAAGTGCAAAAGATTTAAGTTCAATTTGACAATTCAAAAGCAATTAACCCTTATCGTTATTTTATTGGTGGTAATCATTTAATAGCTTCTTCGTAGTTTTGTACACAATGAATTACTGAAATTAGCAGCCTGACATGACTACACACCCTACACTTTAAAAATAACCTTGAACTGACAGCTAATCGTGAATATCTAAATGAAGTTAAGTATTAACCTAAGAAACTTTATAGAAAATGGAAGAGACAGAAATTGTAGTAATGTAATGTGGTATTTGAGAATAAGAATTGTTTAGTTCTCTATGACATTCGGTTGTAACAACTTGACTAGTAAATTATGTTATTACATTAAGACTTTTATGACTTGAATAGGTTTTATCATAGAAAAATTCCAGTACATTACTGACTGACATGGATTGTATAAATAATGACCTACAGCATGAAACTTTGGTAAACGAAAGTGAACTAGATTTCAAAAATGAGAAATAACTCACTAATTATTTTCATTCAATTTCTTCAAATAAGTACTTTGAAACAAAATAGAAGGGAGTTGAATAGGGCAATACATTAAACACATCAAATTATTGGGCATAAAATCTGTGGCAAATAGCTGAAAAAATTATCTTGCCCATTTTCAGTATTAAGGTCGAAAAGTTCTGTGAAAATCAGTCAACAATAATAAGTTTTCACATTTAGATGGAATGATAAGTACTCTCCGTAGAAAGTAAAAAAATAATAAATATATCACAATAAAACCTATGAAACAGAACATGTAGGAGTATAACAAATAATCCTAATACTGATGAGAAATACTTCCTAATATTGGTTTAAAGTGTTACATTTAGTAAGTTTAAAATAAATTACATTAAGTACAAACTCCCTATACATAGTTCCACAAATAAACACAGACGAGAATTAATGAGATGAAACTAAACGTAAATACTTGCATCACTATAACGTCCAGCAGGAAAGTTCATATTATACAAAATCAGAGCTCTTCTTCGAAAAGTTGTCAACTCCGATGAAGGTATCGATGAACTTTCCGATAAGGGATAACCAACAGTAAGACAAACAAGTAAATTGGCATTGTATTTAGCACATATCTGATTGGCTGCTTCAGTAAAGTCAGGAGAATTAATTAACACCTAATGAAAAAAGTAACAGCCTAAAATTTAGCTTTACAATAGGGGATTTGAATAAAAACTTTATGATTAATAAAGCAGAAAATTTCACGAACAGAACGAGTTTATTTGAGAGTATTATTGACGAAATGTCTGGGAAAATAGTGTAACCTTTATCTGTCCAAATCAAAATAGGCAGAGAATGTTTCGAACATACAAATCAGTATTATGAAGTCAAATGACTTGAACATCGAAGTATTATTCTTATTTATTGAATGCCAACGTGATGCAAATATCATACACCTCCAAGTTCCATATAGCACTTTCTTGTTAATATGAAAGTATAACAGGTAGATGGAAACTGAACCAACTTAGTCGCGTATTGCCTCATTGGTCCTTAGTCATTTCGCAAACATTTTATATCTAAAAATGTTTTGATTTCACCATTAGTGGCATTTTTCCAGAATTTAGGAAAAAACCGCTTTCAAATTAGCATTGACAAATCTTGGAGACCTAACAAACTTTAAGCAAACTTTATTGAGCACAAACAATTATTGACGACTTTCAATGCACTATAATCCACTAAACAGGATTTATGAATTCTCCCACTCTTAATTAAAATCTATAGTTCAATGCAACCATGCAAAGTAAAATGGACTCTAACAAGTAAACAGACCGATATAAATTGATGAACCATTGGAAACCAAAAAGTACCGACCAGATGTTTAGTTTTAGTATGGGATTCCATATCTAGTCCTTATCCATACCAAGATGAAGACTAACTCTGAAATGAACAATCTCCACAAACCGCTTATGTTGCCAAGATGTGTTCCCATTAATGACCTAGCTTTAAGAAGTATTCTCGAAGTTTTAAAGGAAAACTGATTGATTAAGTCAAGTGAACTTAATCCTTGTATCAGAATGCAGACAGATGGTTATGAAATATTGTGAAATGAATGTGGTTAAAAATGTAGACCACTAAACTCAAAACGACAGGCCCAAAACGTATTGCGCTTATCGCAAAACGTAAGTCTTCAGTTTAACTCCTGGCATGATTTTAAGTGACTACTAACGAGTTCCAAACAAGAGGTATCTGTCCAGTATCATGTCTTAGTTTTCAATGATTCTGTAACTGATGTTCGTGAGTGGTGGGAGCCAAATCCTAATGGAAAATACGTTTTACATCAATTAAATAAACGGACTGCTTACTGTTTATCATTCAAAAGATAAGAATACTTTGTAACAGTTCTAAATGTAAACCCATAAAAAGGCTTAAACTGATAGACAACTACCAGTTGGCACTAATAAACACTGTCATTCAACTCACAGCTTACCGTAAAATCAACTCCAGATACAGTAGAGCACACAAATTGGAACGCATCTTTATTTGGACTAGAAACAATTTTCATATCACGACGTAATAAATTCCATGTAGATAGCCCTGCACAAAGATAATTCATAAAAATGAACAATTATAGAATTAATCGTAACTACGGCTTATATGTAGGGAAATTTTGAGATTTTCCTGCATTTATTTAAAAGTGGTTTTAATTTTTATTAAAGTGTTTTGTTGTGAAGTTTTATTGCACCAACATATTAACACTAGACCTTATATACTTTACACATAACCATGTAGTAATTATATTCTCTTCAAAAGTAATGATGACCAAATGATCTTGAACAATCATCTACTGATTAATGCTACAAATTTAAATACATATGGGCTTAATTCCAATATGAAATATTAAATTACAGTTTTTCAAATCTTCACCCAATAAGTCTAGTTAAGTTTAACATGAAATGGACAAAACGATTGAACTAATAATTCAAAAGTATTTTATCAATGCAAATTTGCTTAGATTATACGATACAACAAGACAAATCAGTGTTGTGATACAAGCATAAAAAAGACAAGTCTCTGAGGTTTAATACACACAGGATGAGTTTATACGAGTTAAAATACCACTCAGACATCAGTGTGAAATAGAAGGATTCCATAATAAAACTGATAAGTACTAGTCAGAAATAAATAAAACAGAACTATCCTTTATTTTCAACTCCGCCTGTAGCTCTTCAAGAGTTACTGCCGGTCCCAAGCCCGGGTAAAGGAGGAGGGTTGGGCATGGGGTTAGCGTCCCCATCCCGTAGAAAACTAACTCGCTAAAAAAACGCTTACCAGAAAAAATAATCCAAACCATTTTAACTCTGCCCTGGGAGTTAGAAGGTCTTCATTTAGAAGAATTATGACGTTTCATGGTGAAAGCCGATCTCCTTCGGAAGCCACGAGGCCGATGCCCCTTCTAACAACCATAGCGGCAATTTTTATAGGTACATGGGACGTCCAGACAATGTGAGAGACCGGAAAGACCAGTCAAATAGCAACGGAAATGAGGAGATACAAATTGGCAGTACTGGGAATCAGCGAAACCCATTGGACCCAAGCTGGACAACAAAGGCTAAATACAGGAGAGATGCTACTATACTCCGGTCACGAAGAGGAAAATGCTCCACACACTCAGGGAGCTGCTCTAATGCTGTCCAAAGTAGCACGAAATGCACTTGTAGGATGGGAATCTCACGGATCCAGAATCATCAAAACATTATTCAAAACAAAGGAGGGGATCTTAATGAATATTATCCAATGTTATGCACCCACCAATGATAGCAACGACGACATTAAAGATCAATTCTACGAGCGGCTGCAGTCAATCATAGAGAAGTGCCCAAGAAAGGACCTCATCATTCTGATGGGAGATCTAAATGCCAAAGTTGGAATAGACAACACCGGATATGAAGATATCATGGGACGACATGGACTGACTGGGTGCGAGAAACGAAAATGGGTGGAGATTTGCAAGTCTGTGTGCATTCGAAAAATTGGTCATAGGTGGCACAATATTTCCACACAATTGTATACACAAAGCTACATGGATCTCACCGCACCACACCACAGAGAACCAGAGAGATCATATCTGCATCAATAAAAAATTCGGAAGGACAATGGAAGATGTGAGAACCAGGAGAGGATCTGACATAGCTTCAGATCACCACACCACCTAGTTGTGGCCAATTTAAAACTAAAGCTGAAGAAGAACTGGACAACTGGACAAACAGCACTAAGAAAGTATGTAACAGCATTCCTTCGAGATACTGACAGACTCAACGAATTCAAACTAGCTCTCAATAAAAGGTTCCAAGCCTTACAGGATCTACTGAAGGAAGAAGAAACTACTATGGAGGACAACTAGAAAAGTATCAAAGAAGCATTAACTTCAACGTATCAAAAGGTTCTGGGTCTAAAGAAGCACCATCATAAGGAATGGATCTCTATAGAAACACTGGACAAGATAAAAGAAAGGAAGAATAAGACAACAGCAATTAACAACAGCCGAACACGAACAGAGAAAGTCCAAGCAGAAGCAAACAAACAAGTGAAGAAAACATTAGAGCCGACAAGAAATACGTGGAAGAACTAGCAACGACGGCGGAAAAAGCTGCAAGAGAAGGAAATATGAAACAGCTTTACGATACAACGAAGAAACTATCAGGGAAATACAGTAAGCCCGACAGACCGGTCAAAGACAAAGAAGGCAAGCAAATCACTGAAATTCAACAACAGCGGAACAGATGGGTAGAATACTTCGAGGAACTCCTGAATAGGCCGGCTCTAATGAATCCACCGGACATCGAAGCAGCACACACAGATCTTCCCATAGACGTCAACCCACCAACGAAGGCAGAAGTCAGAATGGCTGTCAGACAAATCAAGAACGGGAAAGCAGCGGGACCCGACAACATACCAGCTGAAGCACTGAAGTCAGACATCGAAGTAACTACAAACATGCTTCACCTCCTATTCAAAAAGATTTGGGAGGAGGAACAAGTACCGATGAACTTGAAAGAAGGGCACCTCGTCAAGATGCCAAAGAAAGGAGATCTGAGCAAATGTGAAAACTACAGAGGCATCACACTACTGTCAATACCAGGGAGTCTTTAACAGAGTGTTGCTGAACCAGATGAAAGATTCAGTAGTCGCCCAACTTCAAGATCAACAGGCTGGATTCCGAAAGGATCGGTCGTGCACAGACCAGATTGCAACACTACGGATCATCGTCGAACAATCAATTGAGTGGAACTCGTCACTGTACATCAACTTCATTGATTATGAAAAAGCATTTGACAGTGTGGATAGAACGTTATGGAAACTTCTTCGACACTACGGAGTTCCTGAGAAGATTGTCAATATTATCCGGAACTCATACGACGGACTACAATGCAAAGTCGTGCATGGAGGACAGCTGACAGATGCATTTCAAGTAAAGACCGGAGTCAGACAAGGCTGTCTACTCTCTCCCTTCCTCTTTCTTCTGGTGGTCGACTGGATTATGAAGACCTCGACATCTGAGGGAAAACACGGCATACAATGGACAGCTCAGAATCAATTAGACGATCTGGACTTCGCACATGACCTGGCCCTCCTATCGCATACACATGAACAGATGCAGATAAAGACAGCCAGTGTAGCAGTAGTCTCTGCATCAGCATGCCTCAGCATACACAAAGGGAAAACCAAGGTCCTCAAATTCAAAGCGGAGAACAGCAATCCAATCACTCTTGATGGCGAAACTCTGGAAGATGTAGAATCCTTCACATACCTGGGAAGCATTATCAATGAACAAGGAGGATCAGATGCAGACATAAAGGCAAGGATTGGCAAAGCAAGGACAGCATTCCTACAGTTGAAGAATATATGGAATTCAAAACAACTTTCAACCAATATCAAAGTCACAATCCTCAATACGAATGTCAAGGCAGTTCTACTGTATGGAGCTGAAACTTGGAGAACTACAACAACCACAATCAAGAAAGTACAAGTATTTATAAATAGCTGTCTACGCAAGATACTCAACACTCATTGACCAGATACCATCAGCAACAGCCTTCTGTGGGAGAGAACAAGCCAGCTTCCAGCTGAAGAGGAAATTGGGAAAAAACAATGGAAATGGATAGGACATACATTAAGCAAATCATCAAACTGCATCACGAGACAAGCCCTAACTTGGAATCCTGAAAGAAGGCCGAAAAGAAGAAGGCCAAAGAACACATTACGTCGGGAAACAAAAGCAGATATGGAAAGGATGAATAACAATTGGAAAGAGCTGGAAAGGATTGCCCAGGACAGGGTTGCATGGCGATTACTGGTGAGCGGCCTATGTTCCTTCACGAGGAGTAACAGGAGTAAGTAGGTAAATAACCCTTTATTTTCAGATCTCACTCTGTTATAAGTAGTAGAATAATTTAGATTATTAAAAAAACTAAAGCCATGTGACTAAAAGGAATTAAGTAATACATCATTTCAAGTGGCCGCAGTTAGTCAGACGTTTTTACGTCGTGCATCAGAAAACGGATAACATCTCTACTGTGCCATATTTTATCCACCATGAACCAGTTTCCTGCGTGTCGATATAGTCTTACATAGTATTCAGATGAGAAATGGTCCGGGATATATTTTATTTATGGAACATTGATAGGGCCAGATTCAACTAATAGTGGTATTTTCGTTTTGCACCTCGTATTGGTCTAAAAGTTTGCTAAAGGGTTGTTCGATACTTGTGAGGCAAATTAGAATTGTCATATAACATCACTAGTAAATACTGCAACGATGCTGAAATTTTTAAAATTACACTAATATTTATCAATACTTGGCAGAGACGTAGGGTTTATTATTTTATTTGAACACATAAATATTGGTACAAGAGGGCACCAAATATATATGCATATGAGACTACCTAATGACATAATAAAGTTTATTAGACCGGATAATATGTAGTCATAGCTTGTTAACAAATTCCCAAGGTGTACTGATCCTGCAGGTAGACTCTGGAGGATTTGTCCCAAGCTCCTAATTTTGGGGAAACCTTGGGGAATTCTGGGTAAATTTTGGAGTTTTCCCTAAAGTCGTAAAACTTTTGGTAGTTCTCCACGAAGTTGGGCGAAATCTTGGGGATTTTCCTGGGGAAAATTTGGTGTTTTTGTACTTTTCCCCCAAAATATTTTAGTGCAGCTCCCTCAGAATTTACGAAAAACGTTTTTCGTTATCTGTACAGATAAGTTTTTTTCGGAAATAGCGAAATCGGGATGAAGGGACTAACAAGGTTGTGTAGTAGTTTCCGTTTCCAAAATGGACTGTTTGTACCATCATAACTATTGTCAGCCACACACGTACGTACGAAGTTCTACGTTGTTACTGACTGACTGACTGACTGACTGACTGACTGACTGACTGACTGACTGACTGACTGACTGACTGACTGACTGACTGACTGACTGACTGACTGACTGACTGACTGACTGACTGACTGACTGACTGACTGACTGACACACGTATAATAGTTAATGTCTGGGTCAACTTTAGGTCATTCATTTAAAAAGTATTTTGCAAACTCCAGAATAGTCTTGAAACTACTAACTTTTGACACATGTAAATGACCTACTTGTTGTGTTAATGTCACTGCAGTGACATTGAAGTCATGGCATTATTGTATGTCAACTGTTTTGAAATGTATAGTGATACAAATGCCCTGGTACGGCCGAGGGTGGGGAAAGTCCACTCCCTCTCGAAATGCTCTCATATGGCCACGCGTATATAGCCTCTGCCAGGGAAGTCCTACTCACTGCCTTCTCATGGTGAGGGTGTTGTTTACAAAATTGAGAGGATGAAAAGCGAACGTTCGGCGCTTTAACCGGGTCGGTGGACACGGAGAGTCCACCTAGGGTTTGGAAAACCTTGATTCTAAACCAATGGTTCACATGGGCTCCAATATCCTGAAGGAACAAATGGCGTATGAACCGATTGTTGGTCATAGGACTGCATTTCCTTACGTCGCTTCACTGCCTTGTGGATCAGACCTTTAGGTCAAAGGCTTCGGGTGTGGTCCCCTGAGAAAATCACCTGCCTCGGTTTTGGCACCGGTGCAGTATTACGGCCCTCACATATATCAAATGAGATCTGTGTGGCGCATATGTATTTGCTGCCTTCTTGTACCAATATCTATGTGTTAAAATAAAATAAATAAATATATATTCACACGATTACTGAAATCAAGATGAAAATACATAAAAAATCGTTCCAGTATTTTGTACGGTGTGATGAGAACTCCTTATCGTACCAAACATAAAGTACTGAATAAGCCGATTATTATTAACATCAGTCAATACAATAGAAACCCTTAAATATTGAGCTTGATCAACACAAGGCATCTATTTACATCCCTCGATCTAACATTTAGAATATGTCGAATAAAGGATATACTCACAAGATAAATGTGCTGAATGCCTAGTATTTTGATCAGATCTTTTGATTGCAAATCGAGTTTGTCAATATCAGCTAAGACGTGCATAATCGTGACAAAAGTATCAAGGAATTTTAATACATTGTTTATACCTCCCAACTGTGGAATATGTATTCAAAAAACTAACAGCAAATTATCGTCTAAAATCAAACAGATTAACTTCATGAGATTCCTTTTGTAAACAACATCTGCAAACTTAACTCTTTTGAAATTATCTGATATTTTAAGAACTGTAAAAAAAGTTTGGTACTTTCAAAAAGTACAGAAATAATTTCTGATTGTTATATTTGAGCACTGAACTCTTATAATTAAGAATCGCACAACAAGCCCATCGTAATGAGTCCAAAATGTCCTAGTTGGTTTATCAACTTAAGCAACTATGTTAATGGCCTGATCATTATCACCATTTACAAACCTATATAACGATAGTGTAAACAGTCATGTGTCCACTTAACCGCTAAGAGCTAAGTATACTATTTAGTTGATTATAAGATATGCTGAACGATTCTTTCTGAATACTTTGCATCAAATGATTTGATCAGTGAATAACCTGTGTATCTAATAATAATATTACCATCAACAGTAAATTTTGCTGTTTCCAGTTGAGTAAATAAGGAATTTTTTGAAACATTTGGAGTGAAAATTTGATTGTAAATGATATCTTCGATACGATTAGCCATGCGAAGATCTAATTCTGTTAATCGTCCAGCCATTTGACCAGCATTAGAAAGTCCGATTGTATCAATAAGTATGGCACCTATAAAAATGTAACATTAAGTACATATACATTTTAAAAGTACCATAAAGCAACTTCCATACATTGCTTGGTAAATAATTACCATCCATTCCTTTCAAAATTTCGAATGTGATTAGAGTGGCACAGGACCCGACAAGATCAATTTGCTTAAAAGGACAATTTTCAACGGTTTCAGTATTAACTAACTGATGATGATCAATTATTTCAATGGTTGGCCATTCACTAAACTTTTTCGTTGGTAAATGATGATCAACTAGAATTAAAAATAATTCATTTTCATTCACTTTTGAATAGGTTTCATTGAAAACATCATCCAGATAAATCAACTCTTCCCATTTGAGACCACATTGAGTAAGCCAAAAGGTAACTTCAGTGCGCAAAACCATATCCTCTCTATTGATATTACATACAGGTATAACAATGAACTCATTTTCAAGCTTCTACATAAATATATGTAAGAGAGGAATAAGTAATTTAACTTACCATTTGTTTATAAAATCCATAGGCAAGTGCACATGCTGTACTATCTAGATCACATGCTTCATTTCCAACAACAAGAATCCATTTACTTTTACAACTTGAATGCTAAAAATATCGAACAATAATAATTATCTTAAATCAAATCGAAATTTAACTATCGTGTTCAATAATACAAACAAAGAATAACTCACAAGGGCTTCAGCTGCATGACGTAAAAATGAATCCATTGCATCACATATTCAACATGAGACTAAAATTGATAAACAGGGATGATTAGTTGAAATGAAGGTTCCACGTTTAAAATAAAAGGACAAAGGCTCGCATGGAAATGAAAAGAGAAAAAAGCTTCGGAATGCGGGTAATCACTAAGAACAATAATTTGGTAAGAGTGGGACGACAATACCGTTTTTATGGGAAGTTTAATTAGAACAGTCAGGTATATCAAATTTACGTGATAATCTAGGATACAAACAACCCCATTTGAAAGCTGGCTCTTGATAAAATCGCCAAAAGACTAAAGCCGTGTAAGGAATATTTTTTTGAATCGATGAGGTTTTAAAAAAAGTTCCATGTCGATTTTGGTTGTAAATTATTAATCTTTTATACTATATTTGCAATTGTGTTGAAGCTATTCAATCTAGCTACATTACGATAATAATCGTGAAGTTTGTGGGATATAAAAGCCTCGGATAGATATCATTCTTAGGATTCGTTTTAGGAATCGCGTACTTTAATACGATGAAGATTTTCAGCAGTTATGTCTTAAGAATTATACTTTACCAGACACTAATCATTAGGTCTGATCAGGAACGTAGAAAGTATAAAACATTTAGTTGCATAAATAATGTGTCCCACCTAATTCATTTGATGCAAGTTTATGACCAACGAATAAACTACTTCCCGTGTGAAAAACTTACGCCTAACTTTGAAATCTCCCATACATTGGTTATATCACACGAAAGTGATGCTTAAATGTTACTCCCACTTAAAATCCAGTATTGTCTTAGGATTGGTAATACGAAATAGTGAATTGTCCTACAGCATTCATTTTGGTTGACGAGCGAACAGATAATTTAGCAACCATATAAACAAATATCTACACCAAAAATTTGCCTGAACAACATTAGAAGCGGACACAACCAACTGCCTGAATTCCTGCCCAAACCAGCTGGTACGCAGACATTAAGCCTTGAAGATTTGAGTACAATTAACAACATGAACTAAAACACAAACTTTGAGAAAACGCATGCAACAGTGATTGGTAGCAAAATCCCCTTATTTCGTTGTTCTTTCAACGAGCCATGGAATAAAAGGAAACCTATGATAGGTCCTGATGAAATGCTTATCATTTAAATCCTTGTTCATCTCAATAATTACGTCAAAAAATGAGTGGGTAATTTATTACCACTGATTCTTCGCAAGAATTAACTAGCATCTAGTTACTGTATAAGATTTCAATAGTAATGTCTCAATACTACCTGTAGACTTATCTTGTTTGAAATCGATAGAGGCCACTAGTGGAATCCAAGATATAATTTATCCAACTTGAAGATCTTTAGATGAATGTACCAATATTTTTATGTTGAAATTACTACTGAGATTATAGCTTAGAGTACATTGTCTTTAAATTAATATTAACCAGACAAACATTAACATAGTGTTTGCCACTGAGCAACAAAATTGTTGTGGCTATTTATTCAACGAGTATCAGTTGGTAATATGTCTTATACTTACCTTTTGCCCATTTTTTTGAGATAATTCGATGGAAGTAGAGTGGACTACTCCCGAAACATGAGATGGGCTTTACCTAATTCATGTAAGGTATATTATGACTCGAAAAGTACGCTGCATAAAAACAGAAAATACCGCAACTTTTTGAGACGATACCAAAACTAGAACCACATGGCATTAAGAATAGCTACCTAGTTACAGCTAGTCAGTACATAGGCTTTAAAAATGTGACCACTGATATAAGTTAGTGCTCCATAAGGCTCTTGTACCTAGATAACTAAATACGATAAATATTGCTCAAAGCATCTCAAATCCACTTACACTCTGTACAGAAGTGAGTAGTGGATTTTAGACCTTTAATCCTAGCAGACCACAGCAAGGCCCAGTGTAGTGGACAAATCAACCGTAATGACTGTATCTATTTTAGATTTGGTGGTCGATAAGAACCAACATATATTTCATTATATTTGACCGTTTGAATGATTCTAGAGCTATTACATCCATTCCGGAATTTTGTATTATTATTATTCATTACTTTGAACACATAAAGATTGGTACACGAGGGCATCAAATACATATGCGCCACAAAGTAAAAATGAGGCCAGTAGCAGTTATCATTGATTTGTGTGAGGGCTGTGATATTACCCGTGTGCCCGGACTGAGGCAAGTGGTTTTCTCAGGGGACCACACCCGAAGCCTTTGACCTAAAGGTCTGATCCACAAGGCAGTGAAGCGACGTAAGGAAATGCAGTCCTATGACCAACAATCGGTTCATACGCCATTTGTTCCTTCAGGATATTGGAGCCCATGTGAACCATTGGTTTAGAATCAAGGTTTTCCAAACCCTAGGTGGACTCTCCGTGTCCACCGACCCGGTTAAAGCGCCGAACGTTCGCTTTTCATCCTCTCAATTTTGTAAACAACACCCTCACCATGAGAAGGCAGTGAGTAGGACTTCCCTGGCAGAGGCTATATACGCGTGGCCATATGAGAGCATTTCGAGAGGGAGTGGACTTTCCCCACCCTCGGCCGTACCAGGGCATTTGTATCACTATACATTTCAAAACAGTTGACATACAATAATGCCATGACTTCAATGTCACTGCAGTGACATTAACACAACAAGTAGGTCATTTACATGTGTCAAAAGTTAGTAGTTTCAAGACTATTCTGGAGTTTGCAAAATACTTTTTAAATGAATGACCTAAAGTTGACCCAGACATTAACTATTATACGTGTGTCAGTCAGTCAGTCAGTCAGTCAGTCAGTCAGTCAGTAACAACGTAGAACTTCGTACGTACGTGTGTGGCTGACAATAGTTATGATGGTACAAACAGTCCATTTTGGAAACGGAAACTACTACACAACCTTGTTAGTCCCTTCATCCCGATTTCGCTATTTCCGAAAAAAACTTATCTGTACAGATAACGAAAAACGTTTTTCGTAAATTCTGAGGGAGCTGCACTAAAATATTTTGGGGGAAAAGTACAAAAACACCAAATTTTCCCCAGGAAAATCCCCAAGATTTCGCCCAACTTCGTGGAGAACTACCAAAAGTTTTACGACTTTAGGGAAAACTCCAAAATTTACCCAGAATTCCCCAAGGTTTCCCCAAAATTAGGAGCTTGGGACAAATCCTCCAGAGTCTACCTGCAGGATCAGTACACCTTGGGAATTTGTTAACAAGCTATGACTACATATTATCCGGTCTAATAAACTTTATTATGTCATTAGGTAGTCTCATATGCATATATATTTGGTGCCCTCTTGTACCAATATTTATGTGTTCAAATAAAATAATAAACCCTACGTCTCTGCCAAGTATTGATAAATATTAGTGTAATTTTAAAAATTTCAGCATCGTTGCAGTATTTACTAGTGATGTTATATGACAATTCTAATTTGCCTCACAAGTATCGAACAACCCTTTAGCAAACTTTTAGACCAATACGAGGTGCAAAACGAAAATACCACTATTAGTTGAATCTGGCCCTATCAATGTTCCATAAATAAAATATATCCCGGACCATTTCTCATATGAGTACGATATGATACTTCGGTAGTCGATATTTATTGTATTAGAAACCATTCTTTTGTTTGGAACTTGAATACAACTATATTCCAAAGCCTTCAGGTTATCACTGAAATATGTTCATCTCTACTGGCTTAGAACAATACAGATCCAGTTATTGTAAGATTAGGAATGCCTGTAAAGCGTTAATAAGCAAGACTAGACATTCATACGAAAAACAATTGGTTAGGGATTCTAGATATAGTCCGAAACGGTTATTCTCGTATATAAAATGACGAACTAAGAGAAGCGATGGAATTCCATCACTTTTGATACGAGACAATCCGTTAATCTTAGCAGAGAATGATGCCGAAAAAGCTGAAGCTTTATCGGAATATTTTAGTAAAGTGTTTTCTATCGGTAATGAGGAACGACCAATGATTCATCGTGACCGTGACGGCTCGCTGATGGATCCTGTAGTCATTGAGAAAGATACTGTTTTAAGGCTACTTCAGCATCTCAAACCTGATAAGTCCAGTGGTCTCGATGATATTCATCCCAGGATTATGAAAGCCATATCAGATGAAATTGCCGAACCATTAGCGATACTATTCGACATGTCTCTGAGACAGTCCAGACATCCTAGAGACTGGAAAAACGCCATAATAAGTCCGGTGTATAAGGCTGGGAGTAGGGATTTAGTTAGTAACTATAGCCCCGTTAGCTTAGCTAGTGCGGTTGTGAAACTGATGGAGAAAATCATTCGGATAGCTGTTATAAACTATGTTGAAGGGCAAAATCTTTTCTCCAGGGCACAACATGGTTTTCGGAAAGGCCTATCTTGCTTGACAAATCTTCTCATTGCACGAGAAGAGTGGGCTGCGGCAAAGGATCGGAATGCTCCTGTGGATGTAATTTTCATAGTTCTAAGTAAAGCCTTTGATAAGGTTTCACACTCTGGTCTTAAATTCAAACTGAAACGTTTTGGAATCCATAACACAGTCGTCGATTGGATAAGTAACTTTCTCCATGACAGGAGACAAAGGGTAAGGGTTAATGGGGCTCTCTCCTCGTGGGTACCTGCAAAAAGTGGGGTTCCCCAAGGCACAATCCTAGGTCCTCTTCTCTTTTTACTTTATGTAAATGAATTGCGAACTGTAGCAAAATCATCCGTTCTACTCTTCGCTGATGACATAAAGATTTGGAGACCCATACATAGTATGTCGGATAGAATAGAATTACAGGACGATCTTAGCTCGATCTTAGCTTGTTGGCATGGTTAGACAGGTGGTCACTAGAAGTAAATCCTAATAAGAGTGTAGTGATGCAGTTAAATAACTCTGATGAATCGTATGACTATACACTACGTGGATTCGTGCTACCCAAAGCAAGAAACTTTAAAGACTTAGGAGTTATATTAAGCAATGATCTCAAAACGACTAGTCACTGTAAGGCTGCTGCTGCAAAAGGCTATAGGGTATTATGGTCAATTCGTAGGTCTTTTCAGTATTTAGATGATGAAATGTTTGGATTACTATACCCGATTTATGTGCGACCACATTTAGAATACGGGATTCAAGCAGCGAGTCCTTGTTTCAAATATGAAGCAGGTATGCTAGAAAGAGTCCAACGACGAGCTACTAAGATGGTACAAGGTCTAGCTGGCCTATCTTATGAAGACAGACTGAGACACCTTAACTTATTTCCATTATCTTACCGTAGAATACAGGGTGATCTAATATTGGCCTATCGTATACTGAACGATGACCTTGGTATTAACATGTCTTATCTTTTGCTTCCGTCTAGAACCGATCATTTGAGAGGACATTCGAAGAAAGTTCAAAAACCTAGATCAAACCGTTTACGTCTGGAGTTCCGTTTCTCGCACCGAGTAGTGAATTACTGGAATTCCCTACCGGAACACGTAATATCAGCACCGTCTGTTAATATATTCAAAACGAGATTGGACCTCCACAGTATTACAAACTGCAAGGATTAATATAGGTCGACAGACCTATCCTTATTACTGAAGACTGAAGACTTACCCATATGAAACATGGGCCATGAAGTGTTAATCAGCTTGCAACTGAGCATAGAACCACCGGTAAGGTCGACTTGACGATTGATAACATCTATGTTTAGTACATTTGGATTGTATGGGTTGGGATATTTAAATTGTACAGAACTGACAACATCATGCCAGGGATGTCTATAAAAGGTTTAATATCTTTTAAAGCGTAGCGTACTTGATAACAAACTTCTCTGACCAACGGCGAGTGTCTGATAGCATAACTATTTGCAGGAGGGTATGTTTTCACGCGTTTCTAGTTGTGAAAACACCGAAGATAAAAGATGACACAATTCAGTGGAGGTGCATGAAACTACGATTATATTTCGGAACTAGGAGGAACAGATTCAGATTCATACAATATAGGGGAAGTGCCACTACCTGTGGTCTGATCTCATAAGGATCTCGAGGTGACAATGAGTCATGGTCTTAAGACGACGTCCCATTGCCAGGAGGTCGAAGATAAAAGATTTCGAACCCTCTGGGCCTTAAAACGGACATTCACTAAGTCAGATACTACCATGTTCACCACAGTATACACATTCTTAGTGAGAACTAAGCTTTAGAAATGTGTTCAGGCTGTAGGCCCCTGTTTAAAAGGTGACTTGGATATCCTAGGAAAAGTACAGAGGGCAGCTACCCGTGCAATCCCACTCATTTTGATTGTTTGGTACTGAAGTTCGACAGCTGTAAATTTGTCCTGATGTCACCACATAACCTATAAGATCTTATGCGTAAGTCAAATCATAGTCTACACTAACTCGTCCTGTCGTGACAGTCAGCGATATGACGTCCAGCACTTCGAAATAACTCATTTGAGCTGGAAAGAGAGTAATATGTTCAATGCAAAAAGCAAGAGGTTACGGAAATGATCAAGCACACATGACGGGATCATGCCATTTCGATTAATTGTCTCCGCGTTAACCATTGCTGACTTCCTCTCCGTTTTAGATGTTGAATATGAATTTCCCCAAATAAAATATTTTCAGTTTCGAGTATCATGAAGTTAGTGTAAGATCCATTTGGAAGATTTTATGTGTTGGTGAAAATCCCTCCATGTATATACTTGTACTTTATTCCTATTGATCACATTAGTTGTACATTGTTGTATTTTGATTACATTTGAATTGTTAATATTTGTATTTTTGTTATAGTTTTTGTTTTTATTACGCATTCACTAAGTTTGTGTTTCTTCCTGAACTGCATCTGCGTTGTTTTACTTGACACTTGTTCTTGGCGGTAGCCATATTGATTTGTTCCTCCTGTTGTGTGTGATCTATCCAGCCAGGATAGAATAACGTTGATTTGTTGTGATTGGTAATTTTTCCTCATCTTCTATCAACTTCTTTATTTATTGTAATTTAGATTTAATTGATTGAACAATCATTGGTTGAATAGTCGGGTGATAATATTTGTTTAGGTAATGATTTACATTAAATTTATTATGAATTATAGAACCGCTAGTTACCCGATTACTTGTTCTGATTTCGACGGGAAAGGGCGCGTGTCTAAAATCCCCGGTCGGCTATTCTTCAACATCCAAACCGTAGTTTGGATCCTACAGTTAGAATCAATAAAACTACACCTCCATCATATGTTAAAGTCAATAACAATCAGGTGACATTTCTGAGGTTCCGCCGGCCTCTCTACCGGAAGCGGTAAACGTAATACAGGTGATGGCAAAATTGTTGGATCTAACCTCTCTCACAACACAATTCTTACCGTACCCAATCCCAAGAGTATTCATGGAAATAGTACCTGTGATCTATACTGTGACTTTCTTCTTTCATTCAAAGCCCACTCTCTCTCCAATAAAGTTAGTCGTCTTCAAACTCCTTTGTTCCTTGTAAATCCAAGCATTATACTAATACTACAGGAACGTGGTGCAGACGATCTATGTCTGATCACTCCTTACACGTGGACAACTACGTTTTCCTTTGATCCGATAGGCGCTATGGAATAGGAGGTGGTACAACTATCTATGTCCGTCTGAACATTTAAGCGGGTAAGTTTAAAAATGAATGTTTTAATGTTTTAGATGACGGCAGTTACCTTAAATTGTGAATCGCAAAGCTACCTACTGATGGGATGTATATACAAACCACCCCATGCGGATATCAACCTCGACAAACTGTTAGCAAACATGATTTTCATTGTTTCGCACCAACCGCATGCGTTTAAAATCATCGGAGGTGATTTTGATCTACTGAACATCACACAAAATTCGGACTCGGTATTAGGACCATATAACAAGTTAGTTAAACCAACAGAATATTAGGATTATTCCAACAAGTCTGAAAGGCGGCTAGGAGGAATAATATACTTGATTTAACATTTGCAATCAACATCGACCCTAATTCAATGCAGGAATGTCATGAATGTTTTGAGTGGTCACAGAGTCACACTGAGTATTACTCATATTATATCATAGGACTCTAAGGCCACAAAAATGTACCAGAGCATGTAGTTTAGTCAACAAACACGGAAGCGCGTTGAAACTCTTATACAGTGTTACGACGGGAATAAAATTTAACCACAAGTAACATTGACACCGAGTTTTCCGACTTATACCATATTCTGACGTATTGCCTTAACTGCACTGCTCCATTTGTCAACCATGTGAGTTATGATGATAATAAGGCCCAATAAACATATAAAACTTTTAGGATAAAGCTCAAAATATTGAGGCACGCTACAACAAACACCATGACGTATATGCGCTTCAGAGCATACTCACATTGGTTGACAGTAATGAATCATCTTATTGCAAGTATCTTACGACTATGGAGAACAAATCTTGGTGTGGCAAAAACTCAAACTTATCACAACGTCGGCCGCCCAAATCTCTCTTGAAACCAAATTCTCTAAATACAACCAGATTCTTCTTATTTAATGGCAATTTTGTGGGCAAA